TGGCGCTCTCCTGGTGGCTCGTCTTCGTCCCCTTCTTCGCCGCCGACGGGCTCAGCACTTACTTCACCACCATCGTCTCGGTGCGGCTCTTCCAGGACGGTGAGAAGCGCCTGGCCGTGCTGCGGCTCTTCTGGATCCTCACCATCCTCAGCCTCAAGTTTGTCTTCGAGATGTTGTTGTGCCAGAAGCTGGTGGAGCACACGCGGGAGCTCTGGTACGGGCTCATCATGTCACCCGTCTTCATCCTCCTCCAGCTCCTCATGATCCGAGCCTGCCGGGTGAACTGATGGTGACAGAGAGGGTGACATGCCCTCACCCCGGACAGGGATGGGTCTGGCTCATCGGGGAGCTCTGGACTCGTAGGGACAATCATCGAACTTTCCCTGGCTTTATTTCTGCACAGACTGGTAGGTGGCAGGTTACACAGGTCTGGTTCTATGAGAGGTTCTCTGGTTCTACAAGAGATTCTCTGGTTCTGAGAGGTTCTTCACTTCTACAGGAGGTTCTCTGGTTCTGCGAGAGGGTTCTGCAAGAGGTTCTTGGGTTCTGCAAGGGGTTCTGGGGTTCTGCAAGAGGTTCTTGGGTTCTGCAAAAGGTTCTATGTTCTGCAAGAGTTTCTCCAGTTCTGTGAGAGGTTCTTGGGTTCTGCAAGAGGTTCTTGGGTTCTGCAAAAGGTTCTCTAGTTCTGGAGAGCTTCTCCAGTTCTACAAGAGGTTCTCCAGTTCTGAGAGGTTCTTCACTTCTACAGGAAGTTCTCTGGTTCTATGAGAGGTTCTCTGGTTCTGCGAGAGGTTCTTGGATCCTACCAGAGGTTCTCCAGTTCTACAAGAGCTCCTGGCTGTGTTGCATCACACCGTATTTCTTTGACACACCCTTTTGTGCCCCGTCCCCGTTTCGGTTCGCCCAGCTCGTGGTCAGTCAGTCTCCAGGGTCCCCGCCCCGCCAGCGCTGTTTGATACGCCCACTGTTTTAATTTAAAATAAAAACGCGTTGAAGGATCAATTTCATTTCTGAAACGCCTGAGGCCACACGTGTCACCGAGCGCTGGTGCAGCACCAGAGCTGCTTCATTTCCACCTGTCCTCTCACTTCCCCAAGCACTGTGTTCCCTCAGCACTACTCAGGGCTTTATGGGGCCACGTTCTGAGCCAGAGGGACCTGGTGGGTGTGTGAACAGAAATGTCCCTTTTCCCTTTGTATTTCAGATTCGTTCCCTAAATGAATCAGACACTGGCCCAGGTTGCCCAGAGAAGCTGTGGCTGCTCCTCCCTGGAAGTGTTCTCGGCCAGGTTGGATGAGGCTTTGAGCAACCTGGTCTAGTGGAAGGTGTCCCTGGTGCTGGCAGGGGGGTTGGGACTGGATGAGCTTTAAGGTCCCTTCCAACCCAAACCAGTCTGGGATTCTGTGAGATATCGAGCGAGGGGCGTTGGGAGGGTGAGGCACAGGGGACAGGGTTGTGTGCAGCTGATGCTGGTTGTGAACTGGGAACGTCAGGTCTCCCTGAGCTCCAGCTTTGGTGTGAAACATCATCCCCAGAGCCCTAGGATGCGTGAGTAGTTCTGTGTTCCTTGGGGAGGGGAGATCAGGGTGTTAAATCCCAGAATCCCAGAATGGCCTCGATTG